TAATTGCGGTCGCGTTTTTTTTATACAGAATACCGTTCACCAGTTTAAAATTTTTTGATTTTTTTCTTAAAGAAATGGTTGATGGAGTATTCTCAGGATCTTCAAGTATTTGAATTAGATGCTTCACATCGGGATCTTTGCGTTGCTCAAGAACAAGATCTTGGTTTACCAAGAGGAAAGTAGGTATGTCAAAAAGATCTACTTCGTCTTTGGGCGCCTGAGACACCGGGTTCCGTGAGAGACAATCCGCATCGGCGTGTGCCTTACCGTTTTTATAAACTACCTCATAGTCAAATTCTTCTAATTTGATAGCCCACCGCGTTAGTCTACTCGTTGACTGGTTGGAATTTTTTAGATAGCACAGAGCGTGGTGGTCTGATTTCACAATAATGGGACGCCCGTAGACAAAATGTCGGAAGTGCGTTAAACCGTAAAGAACAGCCAGCGCTTCTAATTCCGTTATAGAGTAGTTTTTTTCCGCACTGGTAAGTGTTCTACTCGCATATGCTATTGGGTGCATTTGACCCCCGCTTTCTTGTAACAAAATTACGCCTAATCCCTCTTTTGACGCGTCCGCTCGTAATTCGCAGCCGATTTTCGGGTTAAAATGTGTTAACACCGGGGATCCGCAAAGTTCCGTTTTGAGGCTATTGAATGCCCTTTCCTGATCTGTTTCCCACTTGAATTTTGAATTATGTTTCAAAAGCTTGTGCAGAGGGCTAGCTATTTTGGAGAAATTACCTATAAATTTTCGATAATAATTTGCAAGTCCCAAAAAACTCTGAAGCTGTTTGATGGATTTCGGCTGCGGAAAATTTTTAATAGCAGCGAGTTTTTCAGGATCAGGTCGGATAACATCGCTACTAACAATGTGCCCTAAGACCTTTACTTGTGTGGATGCGAACGTGCACTTTTTTGTTTTCAGAGTAAGGTTAGCCGCTCTTAAACGCTCGAAAACTTCTCGCAATTTTTCTAAATGTTCTTCAAATGTTTTAGAATAAATTATAACGTCATCGATATATACAAGTACAGACGACCATTTTAGACCGCGGAAAACTCTATCTGTCAGGTCTTGAAACGTTGACGGTGCATTGCATAGACCGAATGGTAACTTGTTAAACTCAAAAAGACCGAAACCGGGCGTTATGAAAGCTGTGTATTCTTTTGAGTTTTCTTCAATTCCGACTTGCCAAAATCCGCTAAAGAGATCAAGTGTACTGTAAAATTTTGAGTCACCAAAGTATGTCATGATCTCATCGATATTACTCAATGGGTAGCTTGACTTTTTCGTGATTTTATTAAGTTTTCTATAATCTACACAAAATCGCATTTTTTGATCGTCCCCTTTCTTTTTTACGAGAACAATTGGTGAAGAATACGGGGATTGAGATGGTCTGATGATACCCTGCTCAAGCATTTCTTCAATTTGATCACCAATTATTTGGCGTTCCTTTGGTGAAACTTTATATGGTTTACTTTTTATAGGTGTATTTTCTGTTAACTGTATTTTATGTTCTACAACGTGTGTTGAACCTATTTCACTTAAATCGTTTGCAAAAACGTCCTTATATTCATCTATTAGGTCTCTAATTTGTTTTTCCTGATCAACGGTTATGTTGTTATCAAATTTAATTTCTTGATTCGGGTTTTTTTCCGTTGGTCGTTCGGTTTCTATTATTTGATTTATCAAAAGGAGCGGTTCATGGTACATGACATTTTCCAAATACGCCACGGTGGTGCCTTTAAACAGTTTTAACGCATTATGGTTCCGAGACTCCAACGTTCCTGTCTTGTAATCGTCTGAGAAGTTACATATAAGTCCTCGCTTAATCAAAAATTTATCGTTATTGACGGACTGCAAGCTGATATCGTCAGCAATGTTTTTGTTTACTTTCAGTTTAACTACAATTTTTGTATAAGGATCGATTTTATAATCTTTTGACAAAGTTAATTTTAAAACTTGTGTCGCGTCATTATGAATTTTGGCATCGAATCTTGACTCTGTTACTATGGGGGTAACTTTTTGGTGAAGATTGTCTTCCACTTCCGACTCGGCGTGTACAATTACTGATTCGCGGGTTTCGGAATCTACTTTGAGTTGTTGGTTATCGTTGTGGAAAATAAATATATTTATTTGTGTGTCTTTGAAAACATAGTGAAGCATGCGATTAACATCAGAAAATTTAAGCAGACTATTTGCAAAATTTGGTTTTTCTAAATAGAGTCTCCCCACATTATATTCATGTAACTTTTGTTTTAGTTCATTCAAAGTTTCCCACAAACTGTGATAATCACCTGGTTTTATATTTAATGTTAAATTGAATTTGTCATCAGTTAGATATGTTTCATTTAGTTTTGAGTCATTGGTTCGATTATTTAATGACCATGTGACTCGTGGATAGTTTTCGTCTGATGCTGTTTTGATATTGCAAATATTACATTTGACAACTGAGTCATAAACATCGAATTTAGATTTAACATAGTGTTCATATGTCTCTTTTTCAAGGCCATTTTTGTTGTGAGTTGTAAGGAAATTGCAATCATGCGTTACGTATGTGTTTGTTATTTGTTGTGGCCTAGTATAGTCTTGCCGCGTTTGCAAATTTGCCGTGTCTTGACCTAGGTTAACAATTTTCTTCAGTGTTTGCGCTATTTCATCAATACAATGTTTATAGTACAGATTCTTGTAACATATTTTCTTTGCGTTGAAATACTGAACTGACCCACATACTGTCGATTGTGTATGTTGTGAAATATGACCTAATGTATTGAAATTAAACACGCCGTTCGTAAACGAAATTGTGTTATTTTTTAGATTAATGATTGAGTTTTCTTGACGCAAAAATCCCATGCCTAAAATGACCGGATATGGTAATCTTTCGACCACGTATGCAAAAATTTTTCTCTTGAATTTTCCAAGGGTTAGTGTAAAATATGTTGTACCCAAAATAGGAACTTTGGTATTTCCCGCAGCCAACAGAAATTTCGCTTGTTTTGACTTTCGTACTTCATTTGTCAAGACCATGTCGCTCGTAATAATATTAGTAGCCGACCCGGTATCTATAATGGCGGTTACAGTCTTATTTTCTACTTGGACTTTTAGGGTTAATATGCTAGAGTGGAAATGGTTATTATCATAATACTGAACTAATGATTGCCCCCCTTTCTGTGTTAGGACGACCGGGAGATTTAATTTCGTCGTCCTTGTTCGTTTGGGTGGAATTTTTCTTGTTTATGCCAGCAGGCACTAGCAAAGTGGCCGCTTTTCCCACAGAGGTAGCATTTTGGTCGTCCGTCAAATGTACGAGTACTCGGTAAATTGGTTACGCCCCGCCTAAAATTTTGTGGCGATGGATTTGATGAGTTATTCATTGAATTTCGTGTGTTTCCAAAATGTGGACGGGATTGTCTATTCGTCCAATGCTGTTGCGACAGCCTAGATTCCTGTGGGTTTTCCGAAACAATAAAATTTCGCGTATTTCCATAATTCGGGCGAGGCTGTCTGTTTGTCCAGCCTTGTTGTTGCGACGAGCTAGTCTCCGGTGGATTTTCGGAAATATCATCCGCCCGCCGCTCGATAGCATCGAGTTTCTCGATAATAGGTTTTAAGCCAGATATGCTTACACCGTCGGGTTTCAAAATTTTGTAATTACTAAAATATTTGTTCAACATTCCTTTTTCGAAATATTTGATAAACCTTTGGTCGGTCATATCTGGATCTACCTCATGCGCGAGGAAAAGTAGATCAAAAAAGAATTCTTTCACACTTTCGTCTTTACCCTGTTTTCGATTTTCGAACTGCATTTCTTTATCTCCCGAATAATCTGACATTTGAAATTCCTTTAAGAATTCTTTTTTGACGTCTTCCCATTTTTTATCTCCTTCTGTGTCTACCAGGTGTTCGTACCATCGGTTCGCTATACCGGACAAAAATGAGCCGAAATATATAATTTTGAGGTTGTTGTCCCAAGCGTTGGCCACGGCAGCCCTTTCGTAATTTTTTAGGAATCGTTCTGGGTCGTCACGTTTTGTATCGAAAATTTCGGGACTAATAAAACTCGGAATGGCTGGAGTTTTCTTACTCTCGAAAGCGTTACTGATTGTTACGTCAGCCATTTTGACTCGAGGTTTTTCGTTAGTGGGTGTTATAATAATTGGCGGGGAATTTTCCAAAATCGTTTTTGGGTCTGTGTTTTGTTCTCCGGATATATTACTTAAGGAGAGCGAATCTAAATTTACTCCAGATGCGGACGCGGTACTGTTACTGCTTTCTCCGATTTCGAATTTAGCATTGCCTTGTATATCGGAACTTCTGATTTTTGGTTTAAAAGAATTGTATTCTCGCTCTATGATGACTTTAGTTTGTAACCGAGTTATTGGACGTTGACCGAATTTATCAGTCATATGTAGCCGTATAGTTAAATTTCGGCGCCTCCACCATATGTCACGACTGAGGTGTTCTAAGGGGTTGGTAGAGCGGGGTAAAAAAGCCCAGTTCGTGAGTTTACGTTATTTCTATTGATAATAATTCAAATACAATAAAACTACTTACTGTTTTGTTGGGAGAAACATGTCACAGGTTCTTTTTCTTTCTCTTGCCACAACCCAACTGCCGTCCACCCGCTCTCGTCAACCACACGAAGCCCTTGCAGTGTCAGCAACTATCCCTACTGTCGGTATGTGTCGACACTCCATGGCCTCGATGGAATCATATCGCGAGCAGGGTGTTTGGCAATCCCATCGTAACTAGGTTACATATTTTTGTGACTGTGACAATATTAATAACAAAATAAAGTATAAAGGTACAACATAAGTAAAATTCTGCATATAATAAAAACTAAACAGGCTGTAACAAAATAAAAAACATATCTATTATAAACCGAACACAACAGTAACATATTTTAAAATATTTCTATGTGAGTGAAAATAAACATCAAATTGATTCGATATTCTGTTATAACACAGTAGAACTGTGTTTTTGTTACATATATTTTCTAAACATGGTCGGAAAGGTAATTTTGTGCTGAATAATTCTTAAATGAGATAACCATGTCGTCAAAAAAAAATATTCAAATTTTTATTGTCGTCCGGTGATCAATCAGAACACATGAAATGAATTCTAATTTTATATAGAAAAACGCACAAAAAAAATGTGCCACAGATTTCCGTCGAAAGATATTTAATTATGTCTACGAATATTTAACCTGCCTATAATATGTAGAAGGATCTAACTCTTTATAAAAGCCTCATATATTCGGAAAGATTGATGTATGGGGTCTTTGTTTTAAATCTTCCTTCGACTTTCTTGATTTCTCGATGAAAAGATTATTATCAGCAAAGAAATTTAAATGAGACATAATTTGTGGAACGTTTGTTTCCTAAAAATTCACTGATTACTAAGCTAATTGATTCCCAAGTAAATTTTTCCGTATCATTCAAATAGACGTAGAACATTTGATCTTTCATTCGAATTTCAAGCCCAATGAAAATTCCTAAATATAGAAAACGTACATAATATGAAAACTGAAATTCACTGTAATATTTTAGTTTTTACCTTGGTTTATCTTAGCAGCAGAAAGCTTAGGAAATATTGTTTTCAGCTTGGTAAATATATCTAGATTGGAAGCCAGTTACTAAAGCTACAATTTTTAAATCGCTTATCAAATTGCATTCAAACTTTTTGTCGTTAATACGGTTTAACAAGTGTTGAATTTTCTCATATGTTTCTACAGTTTTTATGGAGGATGCAGTCGGCAGTACTAGATATTTATTCCCATTATGCAATAGTACACCTGTTAATTGTTAAGTAGTAGTTGCAATTTGCCGCCTTTGCCGCAACTCAACGCTCCAAAGATGCCGACTTCCTGGCGGAGCGTGTAGTCGGATCTCTTTGGAGCGGCTCCCTTTGGGGCGGCTCGCTCCTTTTGAAGAATTGGCGGCGATCACAGGAGAAGTCGGCCTAACCCCCACTTATTTTTATACTTTGTGTTAATTTTTAATTTTAAGACCAGTAGCGATGTAACCACCGCAAGCGAAACAATAAACCAAGTGTAGCAACACAAGACTTTCATTCTTAGTTCTATGAACACAAATACGGCTGGAAAAAGCTCCAGTCGTCAACATATGGTCCTTCGAGCCGGATATTGAACGCAGTGTCAATACTCGACATTCGGGAAACGTGTTTGTGCAAGTGCAACGCAGTTTTTCCCAACATCTTCATAATCAACAAATTAATAACTATCACATCGCTACATTACTACGCTACATCCAAGAGTTCTTCTTCATCATCGGCACGTCACCGACACAGGTTTGTGGATCACTTCTTTTCTTCTTTACCATATTTCCACACTCTCCTCTGCATGTGCTGTTGTAATTAATATCGTGTTTCATTACAATGGGGGAAATTAAACTTTTGGTTAGAAGACGAGCTGCGATTAAAACTAAATTAACTAACTTTTATTAAAATTTATATCGGACCCCGAAAATCACAACAGAATTGCTGAGATTGAAGAACGAATAAGTGCAATCCAACCTTTGTTAAAAGAATTTGAAAATATCAATTTAGAAATTATAGAAACCGATGAGTCTCAAGTTAAAGATGAGGACTCATTCGAGTTCGAAAATAAATATTTTAAGGCCATCAGCGAGGCCAAACAACTTATTCAAAAAAAAGGTATCGAAGTAGACACAGTTGCTCAGGCAAATTCGAATCAAAACAAACCCGATTCTATCTCCATCAAATTGCCTGAAATTTCTATACCGGCTTTCAGTGGTGCATTCACGGAATGGATCAGTTTCAGGGATTGTTACAAATCACTTATCCATGATAATCAAAGTTTAAATCCAGTTCAGAAATTCCATTATTTGCGAGGTAGTTTGACAGGAGATGCACAAAAAACAATTAAGTAGTCACTTAGCACCAACCACAGATAATTACTTGTCAGCATGGGATTTACTAACGGAAAGATATGAGAACAAACGAATTATTAGTCAGCATCATATTAGAGCATTATTTTCACTACCACATATCAATTCAAGAGACTCAAAATCCTTACGTTCGTCCTTACAGATCGTTAATTCTAATATCAAGGCTTTAGATGCTATAGGGCGTCCCACAATGCAATGGGATGATTTGCTTGTTTACTTAATTTCTAGTACATTTGACGAGAGTACCACTATCGCTTGGGAAAGTACATTAAATAGTACCATTCCAACTACAAAAAATATTCTCGATTTTCTTACGCAACGATGTCAAATGTTTGAATCTTTCGAATTAAACCAAATGAGCAATAAAATGAATACAAATAGTTCAAACAAACACAAACCTTACCTCCACAATAATCAGTTCAACAATAAATCTGCAAGCCATATTGTAAATGTGTCGCAGACCAATCAGATTACGTGCAACTATTGTAAATTACAACATAATATTTTCAATTGTCAAAGCTTTCTAGGCTTAACCTCTGAACAGAGAATAAGTGAATGCAAAAAACGTAAACTTTGTATTAATTGCTTACGTAGCGGACATAAGATAGAAAACTGCAATTCGAGCAATTGTAGAAAATGTAACCGTCGCCATAACACACTATTGCATGTAGATCTTAATCAAAATAATTCGCCACAACCCTCCTCGTCATCGATGAGTAATTGCGCTCAAATCTTAAATAAAAATGTTGTTTTATCAACAACACAACTTTTAGCATTTGGTGACGACAAAATTCAGGGTAAGCAATTTCGAGCCTTATTAGACAATGGATCAGTTTCAAACTTTATAACAGAAAGGGCGGTGAAAAAGCTAAATTTACGCAATATTCATAATATCCAATTGCCTCTCATTGGCATCGGATGCAATTCTTCAGTAATTAATCATGCCGCAACAATTCAAATTGCATCCGTATGTTCGTCATTTAAAGCAACATTAGATTTTTTGATAGTTCCAGAAATAACGGGAAACGTACCCAACTCGTCATTCCCCACTTTACAAAATTTACCCGATAACATAAAATTAGCAGATCCATTTTACAACTTATCGCAGCCTGTGGAAATTCTTATCGGTAACGAAATATTCTGGAACATTATGTGCATAGGACAAATCCGCATTCACCGACACGGGCCGGTTCTTCAAAAAACACAGTTTGGATGGGTTATTGCGGGAGTATTGAATAATTTCAACACAAACACTTCAACTTCTTGCAATCTTTCAAATACAGATCTTGATGTACACCTCAAAAAATTCTGGGAATTAGAAGAAGTGACAAACATATCCGACCCAGTTTTTCCTGGCGATAATCGCGACCCTTGTGAAAAGGTATTCATCGACACTTTCACGCGAGATTTATACGGCAGATTTCAGGTGAAACTGTCCATCATAAACGAACCTCCGGATTTGGGTTCTTCGAAGGAAATTGCACTAAAATTATTTTATAATCTAGAGAAACGTCTACGAAAAGATCATAATTTGTTTGAACAATATTCAAAATTCATGGCTGATTATTTAGATCTAGGGCACATGACCCAAATAAATTATCCTGACGAATCAGGTTATTTTGTAAGCCACCATCCCGTCTACAACGAATCTTCCCTCACAACTAAATTAAGAGTTGTATTTAATGCATCTTTGAAAACAACTAACCATAAATCAATTAACGAAAATCTTATGGTTGGCCCTAACCTACAGCAAGACTTATTTAGCATTCTAATTCGGTTCCGAATTCACAAAGTTGTAATAACCGCGGACGTAAAAAAGATGTACAGGCAAATATTGTTGCACCCTGATCACCGCAAATACCAACAAATATTTTGGCGTTTTAACTCCACTGATGAGGTAAAGGTTTTTGAATTAAACACAGTGACGTACGGATTTGCGAGTTCATCATATTTGGCAACTAGATGTTTGCAAGAGTTAGCAAATCTCGAAAAACAAAACTTTCCTGAAGCGGCAAATATAATTTTACGGGACTTCTATGTAGATGATTTAATTTACGGGGCAAACGATATTAACCATGCATCTCAAATACTAAACGACATTAAGGGAATTTTAAGCAAGGGCGGGTTTGAACTGCACAAAATTAATTCAAATCATTTACCTAGCATAGACTCCACCTCAACACCGGGAATCAGAAACCTTGACAAACAAGCTGCAGCCAAAACATTAGGACTTTTTTGGAACAATTGTAATGATACCATCCAATATTCGATCTGTTTAAAAAATCCTAAATGCCATAAAATAACAAAACGGGGAGTTCTGAGCACCATTGCTCAAATTTTTGATCCATTAGGTTTAGTAGCACCTGTCACAGTGACCGCGAAGATCATAATGCAGAAACTATGGTCATTCAAACTTAATTGGGATGAAAGCTTACCAGCGGAACTACACACTTTGTGGTGCGAATTTTTAAACGCATTTCCAGAATTAACCAATATTTCAATCCCTCGGCATGTAGTTACAAACAAGCATCAAATAGAAATTCATGGTTTTTGCGATTCAAGTCAAAACGCATATGGCGCTTGCGTGTATTTACGTTCCCAGAATCCCAGTGGGAACTATGAAGCACGAATTTTATGCTCAAAAAACCGAGTTGCCCCTTTGCAAACACAGACCATTCCCAGACTTGAACTGTGCGGCGCAGTTCTCTTAGCTAGATTAGTTCATAAAGTTAAGCAATCCTTGATAAACTTTGATGTCCAGGAGTGTCACTACTGGACTGATTCCACTATTGTGTTAGCATGGATTCGAACGCAGCCTACACTATTAAAACCATTCGTATCACATCGGATATCAGAGATACAGTCCTTAACACCTGAAAATAACTGGCATCACGTTTCATCAGAACAGAATCCTGCGGACATTTTGTCCCGCGGGGATAATCCCCGTCATTTGCAGTCCTTCCACCTTTGGTGGAATGGACCGACCTTTTTAACTAGGACTGATTTACCGTACGAACATCTAAAGGATTCGTCACATGTTGATTTGCCGGAACTAAAGTTAACATGTTGTCTTGCGACCAAAAATTCCACTGAATTTCTACTACGTTACTCGGACTTTGATAAATTGTGTAGAATTACTGCCATAATAATACGATTTATTCAGAATTTGAGAAATAAGGACAATAAAAAATCTGGTCATGTAACAAGCAAAGAAATCATAGAAGCACATAATTTAATAATAAAATTAGTTCAAAAAGAAGCTTTTCAGGATGATATACATCAACTTAAGTTGCATAATCAAATCACGAGTAACAGTAAATTAAAAGGTTTAAATCCGTTTATTGATAATTCTGGTTTTTTAAGAGTTGGTGGTAGACTAAATCATGCTAAAATCAGTAATGATCGCAAGCATCAGTTGTTATTGCCGAGAGACCATTTTGTTACTCGTTTAATAATTGAAAAATATCATAAGGATAACCTTCATATCGGTTGTCAGGGAACCTTGTCTGCAGTACGCTGCAAATATTGGCCCATTTCAGCCAAAAATACAATTCGACAAACAATATTCAAGTGTCTAAAATGTTACCGCTGCAAGCCGGTACCATTCAGTCAATTAATGGGGGATCTTCCTAAAACTCGTGTAACACCTTCACGACCATTTTTTATTACAGGTGTAGACTACGGTGGTCCTTTTATTTTAAAAAATGGACACGGCAGAACCCAAAAAACCATCAAGGGTTATGTCGCTGTTTTTGTTTGCTTCAGCACTCGTGCCGTGCACATCGAGCTCGTATGCGAGTGCTCATCTTTAGCGTTTTTAAATGCATTGAAAAGGTTTATTTCACGCAGAGGTCAACCTCATGAGCTCCATTCTGATAATGGTACTAATTTCGTTGGGGCGAATCGATATCTAAAAGAATTGTTCCAATTATTTCGAACTAAATCTTTCGAAAACGTAGTTCTTAAATCTTTAACGAATATGGGTATTAATTGGCAATTCATTCCTCCGCACGCTCCACACATGGGTGGGATATGGGAGGCAGCGATAAAATCTGTAAAGGGTCATTTAAGGCGCATTCTAGGCAACGTTCTTCTCAATTACGAAGAAATGAACACGATTTTAATTATGATAGAGGCATGCTTAAATTCCCGACCTATTACTCCACTTTCAAATGATCCAAACGACCTCTCCGCTCTCACCCCTGCTCATTTCCTCATTGGTGGTCCACTGACTGCACCCGCAGAAGAAGACTGTAGCGACATACCTACCAATCGCCTGATTCGCTATCAACTTCTGGAGAAAATTCGCCAAGATTTCTGGAGACGTTGGTCGCGCGAATATCTTCACTCGTTACAACACAGGGCGAAATGGCAACGAGTTCCAGCGCGACAGCCACAAATTGGAGACCTGGTAATAATCTGCGAGGACGGCATCCCACCCCAACAATGGCCTCTTGGTCGTATACAGGAACTGCACCCGGGAAGCGACAATCAGTGCCGCGTAGCAACGGTGAAAACAGTGCGCGGAGTGCATAAAAGGCCTGTAACCAAACTTTGTGCTGTGCCAGTTCAGTGATGAGTGAAAGACTTTACCCATTGACTAGTAACTTAGAGACATTCACTGGGGTGCATGCATGACATTGGTTCTTATTTTTTTTGTTCTTATTTTGTCTGTTTGTTATATGTTTATTTCAATTTACTTATGTGGGCATGTTCATTTTGAAAGATATGTTCTTTCAACGGGGGGAGTTATGTTAATTGTTAGGTAGTAGTTGCAATTTGCCGCCTTTGCCGCAACTCAACGCTCCAAAGATGCCGACTTCCTGGCGGAGCGTGTAGTCGGATCTCTTTGGAGCGGCTCCCTTTGGGGCGGCTCGCTCCTTTTGAAGAATTGGCGGCGATCACAGGAGAAGTCGGCCTAACCCCCACTTATTTTTATACTTTGTGTTAATTTTTAATTTTAAGACCAGTAGCGATGTAACCACCGCAAGCGAAACAATAAACCAAGTGTAGCAACACAAGACTTTCATTCTTAGTTCTATGAACACAAATACGGCTGGAAAAAGCTCCAGTCGTCAACAACACCTTTAACTGGAACTATCAATGAACAATTTCCAAAAAAAATGTTTTTGACGACGTAGGCATAATGTTTTATTAGATAGTTATTCAGCACAAAATAACCTTTCAGAATATATTTTCAGAATATATTTTCAGAATGTTTGTAACAATTATATGACATGATCGTAATTGGTGATCTTGCAAGTGTGTTGGTTCTATTTGAATCATAATAAAAAGAGTACTGTAATCGTGAATTTATTCTTGGGACAAGAAAATTTAATTTAGATAATAACCAACAGCAAGCAATTTTATTATTTAATAATCCCTGAACTGATGATATTATTTAAAAATTTTACTTTATTAATATCTTTTTATGGAGTTATATAGGATGACTCAGAAAATGAATGAAGAAGTAACATATTTATTTAATTAAAGGAAAAACGACTTGTCTAATTTTGCCAATATTTTGGGAACACTCTACTACTGCTTTTACTGTTATATTAAATTAAAATCCCCTACTACAAATCTCAAGACGTTATAGCAAAAAAAATCTATATTTTACATTTGAAAAACGTCTAGTTGTAAGGATTCTAAAATTTTTATAGGTTTATCAAGGGAAACGTATTTTGTGGAGAAATAGAAACTAAATGAGTCATATCATCATATGCTTTAAAGAGTCAAAAGCCTTGGAGAAGTCGGTGTATAAACATCCTTTTGGAATCCTTCGTCCAGATTGACAGCAATATAATGTGTAATAGTCATTAAATTAGTGATTGTAGAGCGTCTCTGAATAAATCCGTGCTGATTATCAACTATGATGTTTTTAATTTGGTAGTAAATAATATCGAAAATTATCTGTTCAAATACTTTGGCAAAATTATTTAGGATTGCTATTGGTCTACAGCGGTCTTATCTCCTTTCTTAAGTAACGGTATTATTTTCGAAGTTTTCCAACACTCGGGAAATGTCTGACTGTGAATGGCTAAATTAAACAGAAATGTTAAGGGAGTGTAGAATACAGACGCTGCATCTTTAATTAAAAACGCAGGGATTAAGTCTGGACCAGCTGTAAATTGTGGTTTCAAGTTTTTTAATTTAGAGTAGACCTTCTCTTCATGAACACTACCAAAATTAATGTTATTTACAGAATCTGAGGTAACCTCACCAAAATCAGACTGAAAAGAGGATTTGAAAAGCGTTGCAAATGAGTTTACTATAGCCTCCCCTCCTGATACTGGTTCATTCCGAAATGTCATATTAAGCGGTATCTCTGTGCTACTCTTTTTAAGTTTAATGTATCTCCAAATTTGCTTCGGATCAGAATTAATATTTATTTCTGCAGAAGACACAAAATTCTTATATGAGATTTCTAATTCATGCTTTACAATTCTTCTCAACCGAACAAATTCTTCCCGATCTTCTGATTTTCTAGCTTTCTTCCACGAGGAATATTTCTTTTTAATCAATTTGATAATTTTAGGTGAAAACCATACCTACTGGGTATTTTAAGGGTCGTTGAATATATTTCGGAACAAAATGATCAAAAATTTAATAAAGACGATCGTAAAAATCAGCGCAGGCTGTATTTATATCTGTAAGTTGAAGTAAAAAATCCCAGTCGGTATTCAACAGTTCATTATAATATAATCCCAGCAAATCAGCTCTGCGGTAATTGGAGCGCAAATTGTCATTAAACTGATGTAAGTTATAATCGTCTAATTCGTCGTGACGGGCCGTCACTAAATCAGTTCACGAGAAAATCGCTACAAAGAAAAAAACGAAAAACAGATCCCCAGAACATAAAAACAAAATTCGCAAATTTGCAAATCTTAATTACTTAACACGCATGTCCAAATCTGCACATAGTACCATTCAAACAAATAATCAGACTCGATCACCAATCCCCAAACGTAAGAACAAAATTCGCATAGTCGCAAATTGTAAATACCATTGCGCTTGTCAGACATTGCGAACAACATGCCCAGAACTGTACACCCATAAAAACCGCCAATCGCAATTAGAATTCGTACCCAAACTAAAACAGCAGTAGGCGAAACGCAGACGCATAAAAAAACAGATCAAAAAAACGCCGCTTTTACTAACAGCGTTGCAGCAGGCTGACGCAACGTAGCGATGACGACATGGGAACCATGATGCAAGTTGAAAAAACCGAAAAATTTACGACACCGAACTCGCGTAAATCCGTCCAAGACGAAATCCTAGTCAAACCAAACTAAACCTTATAAAACAGCAAAATAAGACCTAAAGTCGCGTTCCGGGCAACTCATAATGTACAATTGGTTTCAAAAAAAGCGGAACAATGACAGAAAGACAAACGTCAAATTTTTCAATGCTTTTCATAGTTTGTTACGGATTCTAGATTGTGAGTTTAAAATATAATGACAAATGGGACAGTTTATAGAAAGACAGGTTAGGTAGCTCAATTTTATATTTTTAATATTTAAGTGTAGCCCGGCTAAATCCCGTACTGATCTTCCAGACTCTAACTCAGCGAGAATACGTGCTCTATCAACTTCCGTTAAATAAGACATGGAGACAATGAATGATGAATTGATGACAGGAATTAAATGACAAACTTTGACACTGATTACTGTCATTAATTGTCACTATTGGTCAGCATTACACGATAAAAAACCAGTTGTATTTTTTTCGTCGACCTCTACAAAAAATTACATTTTACGTACTAATTCCCGAACGAAAAATCGACTATTTTTGAAGGCAAGTATTTTTCGTCCGCAAACTCTTTTCGCCCGCACGGTGCGAGAGCGGGGATTGAATCATTTCATTTGCTGTTGTCAAATTAATTATTGACGAAATCTGTACGAACTTACGTATAAATGAAGGTCGATGAAACAATGTAATATGCACCTCGGCGAAAAACTGTCTGTCTCGCCTTCTTACTAGCCTCGGCTATCAATTTGCAGACTCCACTATAATAGACAGTTTTTCGTCCTTGGTACATAAATAACTATTATGGCTCGCCAACGTCGTGGGAAACAAAATAAATGGGCAAAAATCCGTATAAAAGCAGTAGCGCAGAAAGCGATTTTCATTCAACTTCCGGGTTGCCGTGGACCATGGTAGAAGGAGACATGGTATAGGCATCCGATGTACCAATTTAAAAATCGTCTGCGCATCCATTTGTGACCTCAGGTGGCATCAACGACCTTGTGACTCTTGTAAGCTTCGCTAGGGAAGTCTAGGAAATTTCAGCTTGAGTTGTCATCGCTTTGCCCAATACGTCAATTAGTTGTCGGCTAACGAAAATTAATGAAATTAATAATGATAAAAATGTAATTATTGATAGTTGAACGGTCCAAAAATGTGGTTTCATATCAATTTCAATAAATGTGGGACATCAGCAAATGCAAATGCCAATTTGCTCTTATCACTTGAATGTTGAAAAGAGGTTTTTGACATATTTATGCTCAGTTCTCTCCACAAACCTAAATTCTGCAATCACATCACACATACAACTGCAACAACTGAATAATCACAAATAAATTTTTGCAATTTAAAGAATGTATTTTACGTAATTTCGCGCTAATTTGATGCCACTTGACGTCACACCCGATGCCTATGCCTATACCATGTCTCCTTCTACCATGGTTCTACACATGTAGTTTATGACTCTGAATTGAGTTTTTACCCGAAACGTCCAAATTTTTGGAAAAAAAAAAACAAAATTATGAAACAACATTTTGCAATTCAATTTTGAATCTGCAAAACCCAATGCTTTGAAATCTTGAAGATGTTTTGAAGTTATCATAGGCATGATAAATTTTTACTCAAAATGAATTTGCTCCTCCCCCCCTAAAAAATTAATGACGTCACCTCAAAATTTTGCTGAATAAATCCTATCTTAAATGTGCAAAATATGATGAATCTGTAGTTCTAAATTTATAAGCATGGTAAAATTTTGATTAAAATGTATTTGCTCATTTCCCCTAAAAATTTGATGACGCCGCCACAAAATTTTGCTGAAAAAAATGCTATCTTAAATGTGTAAAGAATGATGAGTCTATACTTGTGATTTATCACTGCATTAATATTTTTTTTTCAATTTTGACATGTAAACAAACGTTTATTTTGCCGTCAGTAGGCCACTAAAGCTTTGGTTTATCCGGTAGCACCATAATTTTTTTTTTTCTACCGCCCACGTTTTTTGGTTTTCTAATAGAGCTACTAACGCACGCAAATGACGTCACAGTAGTTCGTTAATAGCGGAAAGGCGTTCTTTAATAGATCTGGTGTAATTTAGATCGGTAAGATTGGTAGCAATGACGAGAAATGTCAGGTGAATGTCAGTGGCAAATCTAAACTTAAAATTTCCCATGTTTCCGGACGCGTAACTTCTTCGCAAGACATTTTAACCAATTTTAAATTACAAAAACTCGAATTGGTTCGAATTACAATTGTTGTTGTGAAAATTCGAACCTCAAATATTTCGTGGTTAGTGTCAGACCGACCCATCACCAACCACGACAAAAGTCCCCA